TTTATACACAATGTCTCAATTTTTACCAAGTTTAAACCAGTATAGACTGTATGTTCGCATTGGAAAACATATGTGTGTTTATTTATTTATTTATTTAATTTACCCAAAAACAGGAAGGGCGCACCCACAGAGCCGAAGCTCCAATAACGGGTTCCCCGCGTGAGTTGTAAAATACATAGAAATATTGTATACAAGAGTTAAACACTAAATAGTGCATCACAACAAAAACAACAAAAAGTCATCACATAATATAAAGAAAGGGCACTAGCAGCACAGAGTGTCACTGAGTGAATCCAAAGGACGGGCTTTGTGACATTTGACACAAACAGTCTTGTATGTGTGCGGCAATTCTGGGTTATAAACATTAGAAGTTAATAAAAAATAGTAATTAAATAGACAACTTTTAAACGAAGAATATAAAGTTAAGTTTCTTAAAGATATTGGTAGAGTGTTCCACGTTCTGCATGCTCTGATATAAAAACTGTTTTGAAAGTCTTGTTATCTTAGGAATATAGTGGGGAATTAATTTTGACAGCCATTCCTTGCCCAACAGTGGGGATTTTGACGACAAAATTTTAAAAATGTCAAAATTTCCCTGGGTTCCCCGCACCCCCCCCCCCCTTCTCAGGGGGAAAACATTGATAGGTGCATAAAGCCAAGGGCGAAATTTTTGACCGTGCAAAAACTTGATAAACAGCTTTTGTTCAAGCTCCTTCGCGCTATGGAGATGATTCCGTTGTAAGCAACAGAAGAGAGAAAAGATTGACGAGAGTACGAGACGCTAAGATTATATTCAACTTTTTTGTTTTATAAAAATGTATGTTTTGAAATTATGATATTACATTGATATTACTCTCATATTGACACTAAATGATGATATTCTTGTGACACTGAATGATCTAATAGTAATATTAACTTCAACAATTCTCGGTGGTCAATCTAGTGATCACGTTAGTTCATCATGTCTCTTCAAGACAGAGGACAATTGCTAAATACAATTATGCTTGTTTCGCTCTATATCAAAGCTCATCAGAATGCTCAAGAAACACTGATAAAATTGTTATTTACATCAACAAATCTTTCTTTTTCTTAACAGATTTATATATGATTTATTATATATAAATGTTTACAGATTTATAACAGATTTATTATGTGATAATACATATAATTTATAAACAATTATTATTAACACACATATATCCATGCAAGGGGATACGGGCATGTATATGACTCAAGGACTTATGCCCCCTGAAAATACTGAATATATACTAAATATAATTACAGTTTGTGACATGAACAGTCAGGTAAGCACCATTCACATAAGAACCTTTGGAAAAAATCTAGGTTCTTATGCAGGGTTTTACTGTGTTGTCTGATTTCATGTCACAAAACAGGCCATAGCAGCTTGTTCTGACAATATATATATGCATGGGATGGTGCCACTCTTTGTGGCCCAAGATCAGGCAATCATAGTACAATATGAACTGGGTTGTGTTTCAGATTGCTTTGTGTAGGAGGCAATCCATCTAGGAGAAAGAAAGCTCGGATTTCAAACCCCCAGACCTCACCTTTGGACAATACATGTAGTGACTACATGCTCATTAGAGCTTGGAAATTAGGTTAAATCCCGGTAAAGAAAAGCGACTCATTTTTGGTATGTGCATGAGGTATAATTTACATGTATATACATGTATATAAATTGTGCACAAATTATCTAACTAATAGCTATGTGTAAAGCTATACTGTAAAGCTGCTATAACACTTTATTTATCTCAATGACATTTTCAGTGTTTTGGATCATTTTCATTACTTTGTGAAGAGTTTATTTTCTTTAATTTATATACATGTTTAGATTTGATATGTCTTCATGTGATAAAATAAGAACCTGAAATGTTAGCCTAAATATATTCTTATTTAGGGTGTCTAAATAAAAATATTTAGCCTGACAGGTTCTTAAATTGTAGGCCTAGGTTCTTATATGCAAGCTTTTAGTCACAATTAAGGCGAAAAAATATACCAGCAATTATTAGTTGAGTTTGTTTCATCATATAAGTCTCTGTTATCAAAATGTTTTATAAACTAAATGTCTTATAGGCGGTGTTTATATGGAGACGAGCCAGCCCTGTTACCTGAGCAAATTTAATTTAATTTTTAAACGTCAATTTTTAAACCTTGCACCAAAGTGTGTCTATATAGTTAATCGAACTACGAATCAAATCTTATAATCGCTGACTTTTTAACAGCTATCAGCACCAAAAATTTCTTACTTTTGCTGAATTAACGTTTGCTGAATTAACAAAAAATTGCCAACCTGGGAGGTTGATAGGTCGGCATTTAGGTCGGCATTGCCGAATGCTGACCTTGTTTTCGAGGGCTGTGGTTTGATTAAAATATACTTTGATCAGAGAAACTTTTTATGTGTTTCTATTAAGTGAGCACAAGTTGTCCATGTGAAAACAGTCAAAGACAGTAAAGCACGGTCAAGTAGATTAATTTATATCATTTATCACTCTGACAGTAATATATAAACAGCCATCCAAAACATGTTGACTCCAAATTGCTCATTAAAACTTTTTCATTGACAACTCCTACTCACGAGTATCATATCTTTAGGCCTTAATTATATGGGTTTCAGTTTGTAAATAAAAGAGATAGAACAGTTCGTATGTAACGATAGTGTATAATTAAAATTTAAAATAGTAAATAAAGAGAATTTTATAGTCATTAATACCTCGATTGATGGGATTCAACAAGTGAAGGGAGTGAATACCAGCTATGTTGGGTGAAATGTCCTATCCTTCTTGGATTCTTTTCTTGCAAACTTTTAGTAGAAGCTTGAGGATGTAGGTATATCATGGGGAAACGCAGACAGAAATGGCACGCTCTCCATCGAGGAAAACAATAAAATAGATACACTTTGATGCACTTTGATACACTTTGGAAGCATCCCTGCTAGCGTGGTATTCTTTCCTACTCTTCATGTTGCCTCAAAAACTCGTTATTTGACGAATTGCTGCTCAAAAAAGATCAATATATTTTGGAAACTTCTGGCTTCACTCCTTCGCTTGCGAAAAAAAAACAACGCGCGTGTTATGAAATGAGAAATGAGACTGAACCGAGTACAAACAGAGTTGCCCAACTTCCGGTGGAGTCCCCAGGCAAAAACAATTACAGACATGCGCAGAAGGGACTGCAACCTACCTTTAAACATTTTGGCCCAAACTCGCCTATATTTTAGCATTTGAATTTTGGATAAGTGCTTGGTGGTATAAAATTGGACATTTTAGACCACCAAGCATTTAGACAGACGGATATATACAAATATTGCACAGCACAATTCCTTTCAGGGTTTTACAGTGACTTGTCACATTAGAACCGGAACTGGCGCGAAGCAGATCGAGGTAGACTGTGAGCTTAAAAATGACGCTTTAAGCAGCCGCTATTAGTCCATACCTCATTAATGATCTTCCCCCTCACCTATGTGTTTAACCCACCCTGTCAACCTGGAGAATGATCCACGACTTTCGGTACAACGTTGATTTTACTCTTTTCACATGAGGACTGGGTTCGAGTCACAATGAGAAGTTTTCATTCAGATTTGAATCTGCGACCTTAAGGCCGCTTTTGTAGTATTTTAACCTTAAAACCCAACTATGCTAAGTAAAACTCCCTTGTTAACACAGCTGTCTAGTTCTCCTCGAGGTGCCTGTTTTTGCCTGGTTTTTTTCCGCCGGAAGTGCTCACTCTTGGATGTTACACTCCCTTTTCCTGGATTAAAACCGGAGTCCCTGCAACATAACATCTAAACTAAGAATGTCAACACTATAACCTAACAGTTTATAATTCCTTAGTGTTTTATACTCAAAATTAATGTAATTACTCACGAATAATAGTCCGGTGTTTGTCTATCTCTTTGCGGATATCGGGCTGCTGGAACTGCATTTTCTTCGCTAACCACTTGTTGGTCTAGAACGGGTTGCTGGTTGGTATCTGGATCCCTGACGTCATTTTCGTTTTCGTCGGGTGTTTCTCTATGGATCACCTGATCTTGATGGCGATAAACCTCGCGGTCGTCTTCCAACTGTATGGTATAGGAAACTGGCCCGGTTTGTGTATTGATCACTCCTGGACACCACTTTTGTTGTTTTCCATATTCTCTCGAATATACTAAATCACCTGGTCGTAATTGTCGATCCACTGCATGTTGATCGTGTAACTCTTTCTGCTTCTTCTGTTGGTCCTGTACTCTTTGTCTTACATCTGGATGTAGTACGTCCAAGCGAGATCTTGGTTTTCTGCTCATAAGCATTCCCGCTGGCGTTATCCCTGTGGTTGAGTGTGGCGTGATACGGTATTTGAAGAGAAACCGAGACACTCTGGTTTCCAAACTTTCCTTATTTGACATTTTCTTCATCCCTACTTTAAACGTCTGGACCGCCCGTTCTGCAAGTCCATTGGAGGCTGGATGATAAGGAGCCGTCCTTCTGTGATGAATGCCGTTTTTCGCCAGAAATTCTTCGAATTATTCACTGCAAAAATTACTACCGTTATCACTAACAATTGTTTTAGGAAAGCCGTGGATTGCAAATGTTGATCGAAGTTTTTCAATTGTTGCTCTCGATGTTGCCACATTCGTTGGATGCACTTCGAGCCATTTTGAGTACGCATCGACCATGATGAGGAATATTTTCCCCAAGAATGGACCAGCATAGTCAATATGAATTCTTTCCCATGGTCGGCTTGGCCATTCCCACGGGTGCAGTGGCGCTTCAGGAGGATTCTTTCTATTTATCTGGCAGTTGTTGCATGTTCGTACTTTGTTTTCCAAATCGTTATCCATGTTCGGCCACCACACGTAGCTTCTTGCTAGACTTGTCATCTTACATATTCCTGGGTGGGCTTCATGTAATTCGTCAACCACTTGCCTTCTTCCTTGGGGTGGGACAACCACTCTGTTTCCCCAAAGTATACAGTCGTCTTGAACACTCAGCTCGTCTCGTCGTTGAAAATATAGTTGAAACTCCCCATCTGGACACTTGCTA